CATTAGTATATTACATCAAAACCCTCTGAAATTTTTAGGGGTATAATACTTAGATCTCTTAAATTTAAAATATTACACTTAAATAAAAAATACTCAAATCAAAGATAAAATATCAAATATTTTAAATTTTATAAAAAAAATTTATGTGTAATATTTTAAATGTCAGGGTATAAATGATTTAGTGACAAACCTTAAGGGGTCTAGTGTAATTCTCCTTTTTTTTGTTTTGAGCTTTTCATATTTTGTACCCCAAAAGATGTCTGGATTTCTACTTTGTACCTCAAAATATTATTTTTTCTATATTGTATCATGATTGTCATAAATTGATTCTAATATCGCCCTTAAACTAACATCCATTTTAAATTTTGTTAAAAATTGATGCACTTTTCTCCTACGTGTTGTTTTTTGACAAAAATATAGACTCATAATTCATATCTTTTGGTGACATGTACATCAATTTTTAACATAATCTAAAACTAATGTTAGTTCGAGAGTCACATTTGAACTAATATATGACATTCAGGATGCAATACAGGAAACATAATTTTTAAGGGTATACAGTAGGAAACAATATATTTTTTGGGGTGCAAAATACAAAAATCTCTTTTTTTTTTTTTAACGGGAGGCAAGTGCAATGTTTCGGGCACATTTTTCCAACTTTTTCAGAAGAGGGAATTTAAGATTTAAAAAAATATATTTTATAACTTTAAAAATTAGATTTTTATATTATCCTGTTGATATATTAATAGTATTGTAATGTTGGCTTTTTATTAATTTTCATTGTTTTTTCGGGCAATAATCACTCCCATTGCCATTGACAAAATAAATAATAAAAATTAACAGAATGAATTTATCAATACGTAATATTGTACCAATACCCAACCAAAGGGTTATTACAATATCATCAACCAAAAAGACAGATGTGTTCCATTGAGACAATCAAGTAGATTTTGAAATTTATTAACATTCTCTAAAAAAAAGTTTTGTCGATAAACCCGTGGGTACTAAATTCATTACAAGAACGTCCAATAATTTATTGAATATTATGCGAAGTATTTGAAATACGAGAAGGTTGCAAATTGATTTATCGGTTCACCAATCATTAATGTTTCTAAACCTGCTAAGCCTACGATAAATGCAATAATATCTAGAATTAACCATGCATATGAATCTATGATTTAATATTCTGGGTTATAAAAAATTCCTAACATTGAATTTGAAACATTTGTAGTAGCAAATTTAAGTCAATTCATGATATGTTAGAAGAAACTTCATTAAATTTTGATTTGAAACATACAAAAACTTTAACATTTATATTTTCTTTTGAATCATACCTTTTGCTTATGTCGATCATTTTAAAAGAGTGGAGTTTGTCTCAAAGTATAGAGTTTATCTTATTTCAGTTCTCAAATTGCATCGTTTCAATCTCTGAAATATTGAATATATTTTTATGTAGTCTTTTAAGCAAACAGTGTCCAGATTTTTTCTTATAAATTTGTCACGTAATATCTAAATATGAACAAAATTTTAATTAGGAAAACTCTTGACCAAAATTTTACTCAAATTACATAGTTTGGATCATAAGTTAATCCAAATTTTGGTCAAAAGCTACCAATATTACACATTTTTTTGTCGAGAGCTGTCCAAATTTTAGTCAAGAACTACCCAAAATTATATTTTTGTCCATATTTACGTATCACGTGACAAGTTTATAATAAAAAATCATTAATAATTTGGATGTTATCTCCTTGAAGAAACACATAAAATCATATTTAATATTTCAGAGACCAAAATAATACAATTAAAATATGAGTAATGTTACATTGACTAAATTTGTAGCTCAAATGACATGACAGTTAATTATTTGAAGTATTTATTGGGACTCAAATGACATGACACAAATCAAAAAAACTCAAATCAACTGTCATGTCATTTGAACTTTAAATTTGGTCCCAAAATTTGATCAATCTAGTATTACTGTTAAAATATTGAGAATCAAAATGAGACAAGTCTCATAGTTTAGAGCCTTCGGTGCAATTAACCCTTGAAATTTAAACCCAACGACTATTTAGCATTTGCACTATGACGACACATATATATACATTCCCCGGCAATGGAATCGTTTGAACCAAACGCTATTTGGCATCATAGTTGCAACACCAACTTGCACATTAATCACCTGCACATCTGCTAAACCAGAGCTTTATCTAATCAATGGGACTTAAACTCAAGATGTTCACATCTCACCCAATATGTTAACCACTAAACCAGTTTATGTGGGATTATTGTACATGATATCAATGGGGTCTTTTGTGAGAAATTTCAAATATTTAGCTGTAGTTAGAGCTATAAAGTAAAGAAATTCTTGAGAATTATAATTGTTAGGGTGGACCTTAGCATCTAATTTTCTTCAAACCTCACAGTGACAGAAGTTTTATACACTAAGTCACTTTTTTTAGTATAGACCTTGAACGTAAAAATTCTTAAATACATTGATTCCTATTAACTAGTATTGTTTTATTTATTTTTTGGGGGTAAGTTATTGTTATTTTCATGAGTATAAGAAGCTAAACATTTTATTATTCTTTACAGGTGTTTAAGAAATACTTGGGTGCATTTGTTATTCCATCAGCTTTTTGATTTTCCCTTTTTTCTCCTTTAGTTGTAATTCTAGGGATCTATTAGGAATACTATGTTTCTTAAGTCATTATGTTTATGAGTAGGTCTAATTTTAGATTCTTTTTTCTTTTAACGGTTCTTATTTTTTTTTTACTAAAAGATGTCTAGACTTATGTCGATTACTCATTTGAACTCGGATATTGCCACCATAACCCGAGCAGATTTAGAATGTGTCTCTAAAGAATAAGGGTGACTAATTCTTAGAAAATCTATGATTGAATAAAAAATAAAAAAGAGAATGAAGTGAAAATTAAATTTTTTTGGAAGATTACATAGCTCTCAAGCCCCCACAAGATACTCTTATGCTAATATCAAAAGGATCACTAATCAATTTAGTGGCATAATGGGTGAAGGAGGCTACGGATCCATTTACAGAAGAAATGTTTTTTATGACATACTTCTTGTAGTGAAGGTCAAGTTCATCAATTCAGTTGGAAACACTTGGGAGGATTCACCATCTCAATGTGGTTCGTTTGGTTGGCTTTTGTGCCGATAGATTTAGACGATTTGTTGTGTTTGAGTTTCTTACAAAGGATTGACTGGAAAAGTTCATATTGTCACCGAACTCCAAGAATACTCCTCTTGGTAGGAAGAAACTTCAAGACATCGATTTAGGTATAGCCAAAGGGATTGAATATCTTTACTGGGCCTGTGACCAAAGATTCAAACATTTTGATATTTGACTTTAATGACGAGCCCAAATTTAGACCATGTCTGAACTCGGTTCATGGGCTAAGCCCAAATCATCATTAGGCATATCAAGCTTAGATCATAGTCTCAGTTTAATCTAAAATTCAAGAGTTTAGGAAGAGTCAATGCATGTTGGAGAGTAATCATCGGGATAACTATTACTCTAAGATAGTGTTCATCCCCAATTGTAACTATCTTTCCTGATAAATTAGTCACTTGATCTTCACATCACCGCCACAGCTAAGACACCGTGCCTATAAATTGTAAACCTCTTTACACATAGAACAGATCTCATACACTTTACCTTGAGCATATTCTCTCTCTCCCCTACTATTTTATACTCTCTCATTAATAGAGTTTTTCGACCACTGTTGCTGCCTTCAATGGTTAGGTCATCCAGACTCAACCACTCAATCTTTGTCTCATATTATTAATTGTTTCATTAATTATTTTACACCACACACACTTGACTAATTTGATTGTGCATAATCAATTTTGTGTCTCATCACCTACAATATCATGTTAGACATGGTTAAATGTAGTGTTGTATTTAACCGTAGATATTGTGGTAGTACCCTGATGAATATATTTAATTCAAAATACACAGACAAATGGTGACAACTTTCGGATTTCATACAGTCCCCATCGTTTTACAGATTTCATTTCACAGAAAATCCCGCCTTAGTTACATAACCTCTTTGCTTCCTATTTTTGCAGTTTGGGAACTGGGATTAAATTTTTTAAAAATTTGAGTTGGCCTACACGAAGGATCAACACTTCGTTTTGTTGCATAGTTTCAGTCATATTAGAAATAAAAACATTTTAGAAAGACAAACAATTCAATAAAATGATGGAAACTAAGAAAGGAATTGAGAAGGGAAAATTATACTTTGACCCTTTAAACTATGCACTCGTTGTCACTTTGCTCTTTGAACTATTAAATTTTTCACACTTACCCCCTCAACTACTTGAATTATTTTAACATTGCCCCAACTGTAGTTATCTTTTTAAACAAAAATTATCAATGTGTTAAAGCAAAGGGAAAAAATTTATATAATTAAGAGAACAAAATGAAACTACTTTTTCATTAAATTTGTAATGAACATTTTATAATTATGGTGATATGAAACTAATTACGATGCTGAGAATACAATATAAAAAACATGATAGTTGAGGGAACAATGTGGAAAAAAAAAAGTTATAATTGAGAAAGTCAAGGAGTAATTTACAAAATTGAAAATTTGTTTATATTATCAAAATATACTTAAACATGTTAAACATACGAAAACAGAGAAATTTAAAAATCAATCATTAATTTGTTTCAATTTCTAAAAAAAAAAAATATGTAAAACGTTTCAAAACAAAATTTAGTTCAGTGGCTTATGTTTTCAGTTAAAAAACACAAAGTACAGCACCTGTCGATCCCAATATTAAAAAAAACACACACACAGAGACAACTAAGAATAACATGCGACACTTAATAAGCAATAACAGGCAAAAACTGGGATTAAAAGCATTAGTAACATATGCAGTTGTTCAACTCCATTCAAAATCAAACGATTCACCATCCTAAATTACTAAACTAGTTGCCATAGGCACTCTATAGACAACAGAACCTAGGAAACAGTGACTTAATATCCATCATTCCTTCCTGCATTACCAAACCCACCACGATAAATTGGACCACCAGCTCGAGGAGGACCGGCTCTGTCTGTTGCAAAACTCACGGATGATCCTCCCATCCAGTGGCTGAAGAGTAAGGAACCCACGTCAAAAAATTCTCTTTCTGGAATACATATGTTTGCTAACCAATTTAATTCTCTTACCTGTCCGTCCATGGCTGACATTGCCGAGCTTGCAGATTCATCACTAGATAAGTTCACAAATCCAAATCCCCTTGATCTTCCGGAGTCTCTGTCAATGATAACCCGCGCTATTCACCAAAACCAAGAAAATTTTCATGTATTTGTTAAACAATCTAAAGAAATACAATAGATAAAAAAAGAGGAGGTTAAGGTTTTATTGATACTGCATAATTCAGTTGAATACAAAAAAGTGATTTAACCTAAATACAAAGAGACTATATATAAGCTAAATAAGGCAGGAAAAGTAAAAGATTATTCTACCCTTAATAAACAAAATAACCCTATATTTCTTAACATCTCTCCTTAAATTCATGATGCAGCAGCGACAAACATCGAGAGTTTGCCAACTAGAAAACGAAAACGGAAAATAGAATGCGACTTGGTAAAGAAATCTACAATCTGCAAAAAAGAAGAAACAAAGGGCAAAGTAATAGTGGCATGCTTGAGATGATGACAAGTAAGGTGACAATCAATCTCAATGTGCTTACTTTGTTCATGAAAAATCGAGTTGTGAGCAATCTGAATAAAACTCCGGTTGTCACAATACATAAGAGTGAGATGAGAAAGAGAAACTCTCATATCTGCAAATAACCAACTTAACCAAACAATCTCTTTGGTAGTAGATGTCATAGCATGATATTCTACTTCGGTTGAAGATTGAGAAAAAATAGATTATTTTTTGCTCTTCCAAGAAATAAGATAATCACCCAAAAAGATACAAAAATCAATAACAGATTTGCGATCTGTGGAATCACTATCATGATCAGCATCAGAGTATGCACACAGCTCCAAGGAAGAGGTGGATGGAAGTAAAAGGCTCTAAAAGACTGTACCCTGAAGATACCTCAAAATACGAAGAACCACTGCCCAATGAACTGTAGTAGGAGAAGCAACAAACTGACTAACAACATGAACAATATATGCAATATCTGAACGAGTAATAGTAAGATATACCAAGCTCCCAACAATAGTACAGTATAAAGTAAGATCTGACAAAGGTAAACCATCAGAAGAAGAATAATTTGCGTTAACCTCAATGGGAGTATCTATAGTCTTATTATCAGTAAGTCTAACTCGCTCAAGGATATCTACAACATATTTCGACTAAGAAAGAAGATAACCTCTAGGTGAGCAAGCTACCTCAATACTCAAGAAATATCGTAGAGAACCCAAATCTTTCATTTCAAACTGTCTAACTAACTTTGTCTTCAAAACTGAAATACCATTAATATCATCACTAATAATAATTATGTCACCAACATATAAAGACCAAATGATACGACTTGCATTAGTGCACTTAACAAAAAGAGTCATAACTACTAGAAGTAAATCCAAGGGAAGAGATAACAACAGAAAATTTCTCAAACCAAGCATGAAGTGCTTGTTTGAGACCATATAACGCTTTCTTGAGCTTGCAAACATAACCAGAATCATGTGAAACACCAGGAGGGGGGAGCCATATAAACTTCTTCTTGAAGATCCCCATTCAAGAAGACATTTTTAACATCAAGTTGAGAGATATGCCACTGACGAACTGAAACAACTGCAATAAGAGTACGAATGGTAGTCATTTTTGCAACAGGAGCAAATGTCTCCTCATAATCTATATCATACTGTTGAGAGTACCCTTTTGCAACCAACCTAGCTTTGTATCGCTCAACAGATCCATCAGAATTGGTCTTAATCTTATACACCCAATGACAACCAATAACACTCTTACCAAGAGGTAGAGGAACCAAATCTCAAGTATCTGTCTTATGCAAAACAGAAAGTTTTTCATCCATAGCTTGCTACCAAAGAGGGTCAAGAATTGCCTCTTTATAGGAAGAGGGCTCGAGAGACAATGAATAGAAGCTAAAAAGGAAGTAAAAGATAAAGAATAACAAGAATAAATAAAATATGGTAACTTTGTGGACTTACGAATGTCTGTGAATTGACGTAGAGGTGGATTCACAATCTCAGACGAAGCTTGAGGGACTATAGGAGAGGAGGTAACTTCGGGTGTGCCAGAGAGTAAAGTGTCAGTACCTGTAGAATGATCAGTGCTAGTATTTGAAGTACTAGAAACTTGAGATGATAAATTATCAAAATCCTCAGAAAAATGATCTATACAAATAAGATCAGATCTAGTCAAGTTATAAGTAGTGGATGGAATAGAAAAGAAAGGTATATGCTCAAGAAAAACAACATAACGAGACACATAAAAATTTTGAGTTATTGGATCAAAACAACGATACCCCTTTTTACCTTAACCATATCCAAGAAAGACACAAATAGCAAATCGAGAGGACAACTTGTTGCGTTCAACATGAGGACGAAGAACGAAACAAGTACAACCAAAAACTCTAAATGAAGAATAATCAGGGGCATACCCATACAACTTTTCGAAAGGAGAAATACCTGAAAATATGAGAAGATAGAATTGTATTAATCAAACCTACAGCAGTAAGAACAGCTTCACCCCAAAACTCACTAGGAACAGAAGAAGACAACAAGAGAGAATAAGTAGTTTCAACAATGTGCCTATGTTTTCTTTCAACAACACCATTTTGCTCAGGAGTATCTGTATACGAAGTTTGATAAATAGTTTCATCTAAGGCAAACAACTCAACAAATTTATTAGAAGTGTATTCCCCACCCAAATCACACCTAAAACATTTGATAATAGCAAAATGTTGAGTTTTGACAAGAGCTCGAAAGGCTATATATATCTCAAAGAATTCAGAACGATGTTTCATTAAATAAATCCAACAATAACGAGTATGATCATCAATAAAAGAAACATAATATCGAGACCCTCCTTTTGTGACAATAGGAGAGAGTCCCCATACATCAGAATGAATCAAATTAAATGGAGAAGAAGAAACAAAAATACTTCGATTAAAAAGTAAAGCTGAAAATTTTGTCAGTTTACATCCACTACAATCAGAAATATCACAAGTTTGCAAATTTTCTAAAGCCTCTGTGGATGCCAAAAATCTCAAACGAGAAGACGAAACATGACCTAAACGAGAATGTCATAAATAAAAACTAGAAGAAGGACTCAAACGAAAAGAAGATAAATCAGCAACAACAACTGACACTTTTAACTCATCCAAAATATATAGTCCCACCTTCCTACGGCCTGTCTCAATCAGCTTCTGAGACTACAAATCCTGCACATAACAAGAAGAAGAGAAAAAGGTAACTAAATTTTCAAAATCACATAACTGACCAACAGAAGCAAAATTTAATGTGAGTTTTGGAATATGATAAACATTAGGGAGAGACAAGTGAGGTGTGATAACAGAACTAACACCTGCTAAAGGCATAGGAGTACCATCAACAGTCATAACAGGAATAGAAGATGAAGGAGATACAAAAGCAAAAGATGAAGAATCTGGAGACATATGATGTGAGGCACCAGAATCCAAGACTCATACAAAATGTGACATACCTGGAGAATTATGAGGCAACTGACCTACTTAATAAGAAGCAGCAAACATAGCTTGTAGCTGTAAGGAGAGAAACTTCTAAAATTGCTCAGCCAAGGTATTAGAATCGGTGAAAGGACCTGATGAAACTACCGCTGCAGTATTAGACTGTGGTGGTTTGTAACCCTGAGATGGTTTATGAGCATTAGATTGTGACTGGTTGCCAGACTTCCAAACTTGAGATTGATTCTGTTGTCTTAACTTAAAGACATTGAGTCTTCCAATGACCTTTCTGCTTACAAAAACTGCACTCGTCGAAGGCAGGTCTTGTGTAAAGCTTATTCTAATTATGAGAGAATAGTTTAGAAAGTACTGCTAGTACAGAAGGATCAGAAATAGAAAGAATTCTCTTGTCAGAATAAGACTTAAGACGTATCTCTTCAGCTAATAACTCACTGACAACTAAGTCAACAGAAGGAAGTGGAGAACGATGCAAAATTGAACCTCTAAGTCCTTCAAAATTACTACGAAGTGCCATTAAAAATTGTATCAACCGTTGCTGCTCTCTACGAACAATATAGGCACCATATGCCTTTAATTTAGTCAATTCTGTAAGAGCCAATTGATCCCAAAGATCTATCATAGCAGAATAAAACTCCTGAATACTCATATTCTTCTGCTGAAGAGCTCGTATGTCATACTCCAATTGATACTGCTTTACAAAATTTGATTGAGTGAATAACCTTTGCAGATAATCTCAAACCTCTTTTGCAGTCTCATACTTTACCAACTGCGTACCTATAGAATGTTCAACAGAATTGTTGATCAAAGTAATAATTTTTGCATTGTCTGCTTCCCAGACATCTATCAAATCAGCATAACCCGCATTAATATTCTTAGGTTTCACAGAAGTTCCACTAACATATCCCCATAGCTTTTTACCCTTCAGAAAATTTCTCATCACATAACTCCAATATGAATAATTCTTTCCATCCAACCTTACACTCACAGACTAAAGCGAATCGTCTCTTGCAGTAGCCATAATCAACAAACAAAGAAAACCATATTGCAAAAATGGAACAAATATCAGATTGCAAAAAAAAAAAAAATGGAACAAATACCAGATTGCAAAAAACGAAAAAAATACCTTCTCAACAAATACCAGATTGGATCTGTGTAAACTGTGTTTGAGATTAAACCTTGTCCCATGAAACTTTGCTCTGATACCATGTTAAACAATCTAAAGAAATACAAGAGACAAGAAAAGAGGAGACTAGGGTTTTATTGATACCGCATAATTCAGTTGAATACAAAAAAGTGATTTAACCTAAATATAAAGAGACAATATATAAGCTAAACAAGGTAGGAAAAGTAAATGATTATTCTACCCTTAATAAATAAAATAACTCTATATTTCTTAACATTATTCAAGCACTGCCATGGACATATTGTCATTTGGAACTCATATAATAACTGAACACATTAGAATCATTGGTCCAAACACAAATACCACCACCACTACTACCAACAAAACAATAATAACAATAACAATAATACTAAAAACAAGGCTCCATCCGAGAAAAAGGGAGGGAGGTCTGGGTCTTTGGCCTGAATCAGGCATGCAACCACTTGAATTCATAAAAAATCTTAACTAAAACAAATATAATATGACCATACTAAGCTCTCTTATTTTCTTTGAGAAGAAAATCAGACCAGAAAAGAAAGATAAAATACCTTGACAAACCATTTCGTATACTAGAGAAAACCCCTTAATTTTGATCAGCGGACCAGCCAATTATAAATTTAACTTGGATACCAAATTTGTAATCTTGGTTGAATTGTTCAAAGTCACCAACTCACATGCGGAAAGAGCTGCATATTTGAAAAAGAAACAAAGAGGGAAAAAAAGGCAAATCCAAAGAAACAAAGCAACTACCTTTTAGATCCCCGAATTTTAAAAACTACTAACATGCAAAAGAGTCAGTGACTCAGTCACTACTTGTACAAGAAGGGGACGTATGGTGCTCATTAGCAAAATAGTGGATCAATGTCATCATAGTTTAGCAATGCAAAAGAATGGATTTGAATCAGACAAATATAGAAGCTATACAAATACTCTTGCAAAACAAAATTTGGCTGCTTCCCTCACACAAATACTATTCCACTGGTTTTCCTCTCAAGCAAAAAGACAATAATCCACCAAAAGAACAGAGTGGCAGGACAAGTTAATCATATTTCAAGGAGAATTGGAAGCATTTTTCTATGTTAGAAAGGTAGAATTGCATCAAGCATTCCATATACAATCATTATTCATTATTCTGGTAGAAAACAGTAGTGAGCTCATATATGTTAAGCAAATTAACATGCTTTGTGATCTGATACCATATAGTGCAGAGTAAAACTCACCCTCGGTAACATCACCAAAGCTGGAAAATGCATCCTTCAGAGACTGGTCATCCACTCCATATGAGAGACCTAAACAAATAGGTATTCAATCACTGTCCCAGTGACATGGAGTCTTGTAGCTGAAGAAAAAGTATTTAACCCACTGTAAACATTATTATGTTGCATACCTCCAATAAAAAGCTTTGAAGACGACATGCAACGAATAGCATTGAACATTGATGCCATTGGAACTTGCCCATTAGACGCACTGCTCTGTGAAATGGTCTGCCTCATGAGACTTCCAAATCTATTGCAGAATGCCATTGTGATTTTTAATACCAAAGAGCCTGCAAAAGTATATGGTTAAAAGGCCTATGATGTCAATAACAATGCTATAAATATCAAAAGATTAAAAAAAATAATACCAATAATATTAATCAGCACAATTTATTTGTTGAAAAGCACAGCTTTTGTATATAGTCTAGTGCTTTGTACAAAATCGCACATGTTTCCCACAACACTAGGATCAAGAATAACGGTCATGGATATTTTCAAAACATAGTAATCCAGATGGTCGCAATTTCAATCCAACCAATTTTCAATTACCCTATAGCGGGGGATCTTTGCATTGCATCTAAAAATAGTCATGGCAAGAAATCCCAAACTCAGGCATTACTCAGCAATGGAATAATACGATTTCAAAAAATATTATATAAGGAAAAAAAATCCAGAGTATCTTTCGTAAACGATCTCTTCCATGATTTTGATTTTTTGTAATTCAAGTCATTTCAAAAACTAGTCACTATGTTGTCAACTTCAGAATAGTCCAAAAATTAGTCTGAGTTGTCAACTTATACCCAGCCATTCTATAATATAAAACTTCCAAGTAATTAAATAAGTAACATACAATTTATTGATTTAAAATTTTTAGAAATATGTAATTCTATTTTTCTTTCTTCTATTTTAGTTTTTGACTTATAATTTTTTTAATTATTAAAAAATAATACTCGAAATATTTATTCAATAAATAAGTAATTTAAATATAAAACTAATGTAATTGTAACATTTAATTTTACATAATCTAAAATAGAATATATATCTACTCATTATATCCAAGTAAGTTTTGATAAAAACTAAATTCAAAAATTAATTACCCATAAAAAATAAATTAATCACACTAAAACATAATCAATTATTCATATTTGTTCATTGAGACATTTTTTACGGAAAAAAAAAAGGCCTTTTGGAGGATATAGGAATCAAGCTTATGACATTCATGTTAGTAACCGACATCTCTACCCATTGACCTACTGTTTTTCTATGACTTTAAGGACAAATATAAATCTTTAAAGACTTGGTCAAAAAAAAGGCACAACTTTTAAAGTGATTTTTTTTTTGGCTACTTACCTTCCTCAGACTTTGTGCATCTCAGTCATGACAAGAGAGAAAGACAAACAAAGAGAGAACCAACACAACAACACTCGCTCACCGATAGAGAGAAAGAGAACCAACGTTCATCGACAAAGAGAGAGAGAGAGAGAGATCCACTCACCATCATCGGCGATTCTCTGCCAATCGTCACATCAAAAGAGAAAGAAGAACTGAAGAAGAAAAACAAAAGAAGAAGATGCAAACACTATTTGGTTCGATTTACAGGTATGCCATAAATCCTTAGTCTTCTTGTTTTTTATAGTTGCGAAAGAAGGGTCTAGATTATAAATTTCATGTGATTTCTGCCATGTATGGTTAATTTTCACATGAATTTCTGACAAGAGTAGTAAATTGATAGTGGGTATTTGATTTCTTGCTTTATTTTCCATCATTTTTTTTTTTGGATTTTTGTTTAGTTTTCAAGACTAATTGAGTGATTTTTAGGCTATTACAGGTGTAGATCTTAAATTTTTGTTCTTTGTCCTAGATTTTGGAAGATTTTTCACTGGCTTGTTCGTCTTAGAACGAGTTTGCTAGGAATCACTCGAGTTGAACCGAGATATGACTGATATTAGCTCAATGCATGATTTTTCTGATTTGCGTACCATTATCGTATCGAGAGTGGCCGAGTTATATCAGACTCAGTCGATACTTTAAACCATGCGTCCATGGGCCAAGTCGGGCCATACCCGACTAATGTTTTTTGGGTCGGTCTTGAGTTATTGGACGGGGCGGGTTTCAAGTAGAGGGTAGGCTACCCACAAACTCAACTTGTCACTCTTTGGGTGGGCCTATTAGGCTGACTTTTGCGGCGGGCCTTTATGTATATACAATTTTATTTAAAAGGTTTTCAACTGAATAATTTTGTAAATTATATTTTTGAATTAAAAGTAGAGTAAAAATAGATAAAAAAATAAATAATAAATAATTTTATTTAAATAAAATAGAGTCATATATTATAACCAAACTTTCAAAATTTTAATGGTCAATATTTTTTCAAACAATTGGGTGGAAGGGCAGGGCTCCTGGGTGGGGGTTTGAACAGATTTTTATGGGTGGGCTCATAGGCAGGGTTTCGGCCTGGATAATGGATTTGAGGGCGAACCCAAGTCCTCTCTAGAAGGATTTTAGGTCGGGCTTGGATAGACCAAACTATCGGACCTGTCAAGTTTTGAGCTTATTCTTTTCGGGCTGGATAACGGGACCCATAGGCTAACCCGGCCCATGGACATCCCTACATAGCACAATGTTGAGCCCAAAACTATCAATAATGATTCCTCAAGAATTTTTGTGCAATTGTGATTTTTTGCATTATGATTACTAAAAATGGTCACGCTTATCTTCCTAATATCGAGAAAATATTTAATGTAATAGAGACACCACGTCATTAATATCAAGTCGTATCACTAACCAATTGTAGAATATTATGCGAATTTTGTAGGTTACACTATTTTAATAATTAACAATAACCATTTTATCTAATAACTACGATGTTAAAATAATGGAGTTCTATAGCCCTATTTAATATTTTATTATTAATTAGTGATACAGCGTGTCAACAATGCATGATATCACTATTACAACCAATATTTACTGATGTCTAAGATGAGGTCCTCAACTTTCTTTCGTCCCCTAATATTTAAAAAAAAAATACTTACAATGAAAGCAAATTAGCAAAGTAAAAAAAGAAAAGAGCATCAATAATCAACAAGTATGCTCAAAGAAGGAACATATGCATGCATGTTAGGAGTATGATTCTTGCAGTTTTTTTTTTCTCTCAATGTCATAAAAGAATTCTTTATTATGATGCCATGATCTGCTCTACTAAACGTTTTCTAGGCTCCTTAAGCGATTCTTGGTGAACAATTTCTTTTCACACCTTTTGAACCAATCGATGCATTAACATATGTATACTCACCATAGAGTTATATGTTACTAAAGTAGTGTATGTCATGTATACTCGCCATAGATTTATAAGGCTGTGCATAAATAGAGAGCCCGTGAAACCAAAGTTTAAATGAGCCTAATCAATCAAGTCAAAATAGGTTAACGCAACAAGAACAAGCAACCCAAATCATCTGGTCATGCCACAACTGTAGAGTTGCATGTTCCCAATTTTGCGAATTTTGAATTGAAAATAAAAAAAAAAGAGTTAGAACTCTGAAATTATTAAACGCATTCAATCTAAATTCCATGTAAATTTACCTTATGTATGCGGATCAAAGTTCCATCTGTGTGTTGGAATTGGTCAACATTATACTACTGATATTGAGAAGAGTAATACTATGTACATTAATAAATATATTAAAAAAAGACCAATTTAAGGTTACGTCCGCAATAAGAGAAATTCTTGGGAATTGTATTACTAGGGAAAGAAGGTTGTAGTTTACAAGGTATTTTTGTGGCTGTATAAAACTATATCGTTAGTTATTTATACATATTCTTGTTAGGGATTCTGCTAGTGGTTCCTTGCTTTTTGCTGATTGTGTAGTCCTCTCCTCCTTTGTCCTTTTCTTGGGTCGGCTACTCCTTTGTCCTTTTCTTGGGTTGGCTACTCCTATCGTTTTTATGAGCCCACTATGCCTTGGACGGAGTACATTGGCCATTTCCACTTTCTGACAAATTGTCGTTTGTTAGGGTTGTCAAATAATGTTTTCTTGTCTTTTGTCCAAGTGTCATGGTGCGGCCGTTGGGGAATAGCGTGTTGCCAAGCTTCCAATTCCGGAGCAGGTGTATATTCTGAGCTTGATCATTCCGAGTTGTCATATATTTCGAGCCTGATGATGTCGAGCTGACTCATGCTCCAAGTTGGAGTGTCGTGAGCTGCTATGAGACTGGGCCATAACCCATGCTTGGGCCTTGTGACAACTATGTGGGTGAGGTGTTGAGGTCGCCTCATGTATGGGCCCAAAGAGTTTTTGGGCTTTAAAGTGGGATTAGACTTAAAATCATTATTATCAAAATCAAAAATAAAATATTATTTGAACCTAATTTAGAGATTTAATTTAATATAATCATTAAACTGAGTATGGACTTCATCTAACATTCAAACTCATAATTAATTCAATTGTTGCATTGAAACTACATTATTAAATTCTCATATTAGGTCCTGAAATTAGGACCTTATAGCATTGCTCATAATTATGGACTTGAATTCACTTTGCTCTTTTTACATTTTCTCCCAACGACTTGTATTATTTCAAATTGCTCCAAACAAAAAACGTTCACTATTTTTTGCCCTCAATTAAAGACGCAATATTTATTAAAAAAAAAAAAAAAGTTGAGTGGACAATTTAATAAATAAAAAAAGAAGGGTTTTAATTGAGGGGTTCAAACCGTAACTTTTCCTCAATTTTATGTAGTCAATTTCCTTGCACCGTGTTCTAGACTTGTATGTGTCTTGGGACCCGAGGAAAAAAAAAAGAAGAAGAAGAAAGAAAGCTAGTATGGTTTTAGTTTGAGGATGGTGGTCCTTGGCACCCCTTTTTGATCAATGAGATAGACATAGGTTGAGAGTGAAAAGCAAATGAGAGAGAGAAGATTGAGAAAGGATAGAGCTAGAGAGGTGTCAATTCAGTGAGTTAGGGTAGAGAAGCGATCACCCCGAAAAAGATTGAAGAGGAGAGACAAAACAACACTGGTTGAAATTGTATGCTTGGGTATAAATTGGTTGCTGGGTTTGGGTAAATTTGTGGATAATTTTTGGGGAATTGTTGTCGGATCTTTTTGTTCCTTTTTCCTTGAATCTTTTTGTGCTCCTGTCGTTGTGGTGGCAGTGTTGTAGTAATGTGCGGTGGTGGTCAAAGTAGTGTAGGGTGGTGGTGCTTATAGTGGTGGGTGGCCTTGGGTGTTGTGTGGTGGTGCTTAAAGTTAATGTTCTAATTCATTTGGAA